TTTAGTGCGTTGACGTCGATGACCAGGAGTACTGGCAGAACTTGCTCTCACTCCACGAAATTGGGCTGGGGTCTCGGGTAGAGATTCGGTCTTGGGCCTGTCACACTGACGAATTACAGATGCTACTGCATTGTATTTGATGGAAGAAAGGTATTCGAAGTTGCTTGCTTCAGGTCCGAACTCATCTGAGCGGGGGGCTGTAGCAGCCAGGACAGAAACCCTCTCACTACCTTCTATGTTGCAATTAGAAAGCAGTAGAAAAGAGACAAGCGCTTCAGGAAGGCGTACCTCTTCTGACTGTGCACTGAACTTGGACACCTGAGCCTCAAACCGGGACTCAAAATTTTGGAAGGATTCATTAGCCCCGCGTTTCGTATTCAAAACTTGAAGAAAGAGCTGGTATATGGTGCTGACTACAGCAAGCGGATCGCGCCTGAAGACGGCATTAATTATAGCAGTGACACCAGAAGTAGACTGCGAAGTATCTGCGGGAATCTTTTTCGAGAGGTCAAGAGCGCGGCCAAACAGCTGGGACTGTAACATAATTCCTTGCAACTCTGAAGGAATTTTGTTACTGTTGGTATCAGGGAGCTTGTCATGGAATAATTTCCACAAAACAACTGCATTCTTGTAGGGCTCTTGGTCTCCTCTGCCGTCGGTCCACGGAACATTACGGAAATCCCAAGAGAACTTGGGGCGTGAGGGTAGCTCTGGGCCCATAACAACAAAGGAGCAGTGACACAGCGGGAAGGGAATACAACTAGGAGCACCACAGTGTCTCGAAAGAGAGATCAGGGATCAGTCAACTCAACAAGAAGCAGAAAAGATTAGTTTATCACCAGCAGAGGCACAGGCCACGAAGAACAGGAAGCTCAACGGTCACAGTCGAGCTCACTTGGGTCCTTGCCATCACAACAATTGCGTGATATGTTGTACCTAAGTAAGGAGATAAACAACGGATAACCGAAGACAAACTGGGATACCTAAGAACAAACCATGATAGTGATAGGAATTGCGTCAAACAATCCCGGCAGGATTGTATAATTCGCTCATAGATACTCCCTGACCACAGAACAAGTCCAAAGTGTAACCTACAATATCTGACACGTTATGGTATAACCACAAGATGTGGTGGCGGATGTGCGTAGTGCGCACTTTCACAACCACATGTTCATTGATAGCGTCAACAACGTTCTCCGTTCCCCAAAGCTTGGACTCGACGTGCCCCTTCAGCGTAAGCTGGGTCACATCTATCTGGAATGGAACCAGTCATTCAAGACTCACTTCACAAAGGCCGAACTCATCAAGCTCCACCGTGGTTTTTCTCATCCCACCTCAGAGAAATTGATGAACCTACTTCGCCTTGCTCGCCTTTTTGAAGCAGATGAAGCCACCAAGCAGTTTTTGGAATCTTTGCAAGCTGCTTTTGACACTTGTCAACGACTAGTCCCCACTCCCGTACGCTTCAAGGTATCGCTACCGAATGAACAAGAACTAAAGTTCGGAGACGAGCTGTCTATTGACTTGATGTTTTTAGATGGAAAGGCAGTGCTTCACGTCATCGACACAGCCACTAGATTTTCATCGGCCATCTTTCTCGACGCTCATGGCGACACTTGTGGACAAAGCGTTGAAGGTATCTGGCTAGCCTTCGTGGAAGCCTGGTGTACCATGTATACTGGCCTCCCTAATCGACTTCGCGTTGACCAGGGATCCGCATTCACTTCTGACCGATGGCGCGAGGTAACTTCACAATCTGGTATCCAACTTCGCATATCTGGTGTAAAAGCCCATTCCTCGTTAGGAATTGGCGAACGCCTTCACGGACCGCTGCGAAGGATTTATAGAAAAGTACGAGCGGACTTCCCAGACGCTTCCCCTATTATTCTTCTGAAAATTGCAGTGAAAGCAATGAACGACACAATCGGAGAGAACGGTCTAGACCCTTCTCTATTAGTCTTCGGAATTGTTCCACGCTTCCCAATCATAAGTACGGAAATACCTTCGCAGCGAGAAAGAATGCAAATTCTTTCAACAGCGCAGATGGAAATGAACGCAATCATCGCAGAACGACGTGTACTAGCTGCTCTGAATCGAAACATCCCTCCAGCCTCCGATCGTGTGTACAATCTTGGAGACGATATTCTAGTCTTTTCTGAGCAAGAGAAGCAATGGATCGGTCCATTCCTTGTTTGCAATGTTCACGGGCGAATGATAACTGTTCAGAACGGCGAAGGAACATATCGACAAACGTTCAACGCCTATCAAATCAAGCCATACTACGCTTCGCCTGAGTCTATTCTCCACCACCAAACTGCACCATTTCGTAGTCGCAAAGCCCAAAATTCACCCAATAACGTCTTCCTCACTGAAGTCATCCATCCAAATGACCCACGTGCACAACTATTTGATAAAGCTAAGCGAAAGGAGATAGAAGGACTAATTGAACGAGATACTTGGAGGGTTGTGCTTCGCAATGAAGTTCCGGACAACGCAAACATCCTAAATGGACCCTTTGTCCTTGCCATTAAAGACTCTGGAACAAACAAGGAAGTTTGGAAAGCCGATACGTCGTACAAGGCCACAAAGACCAAATGAAGCGATCATTCGTTCACGACACCTCAACGGCACGGCAGTTCAGTGTCAAACTACTTGTCGGTCTAGCCGCCCTCTTCAGCTTCAGACTTTTCTCCACCGATGTCACACAGGCATACTTACAGAGCGCAGAAGAGCTTTCCCGTGATGTCTACATTAAACCATCATCGGAATTCGAACTGAATCCAGATCAGCTCCTGAAGCTGCTCAAACCCTTGTATGGACTAGCCGATAGTGGTGACTACTGGGGTAGAACATTAAAGAATCATCTAGAGAAGGAACTTGAGATGAAGCCCAGTGTAACAGACGCCGCTTTCTTCTTCAAGCGCATTGGTGAGAAGCTTGCTGGTCTCTGTGCCACGTATGTAGATGACTGTCTTCAAGCTGGCACTGACGAATTCTGTCACCAGGCAAAGTGTGTCGAAAGGAAGTTCAAATGTCGACCGAGAGACTATGACAATGTCCAGTTTGCAGGCATCAAGATAGAATCCACACCTTACGGGTTCGAAATTCATCAGAGACACTATATCTCTAAGATCAAGAAGATCAATAGGGACGCCTCCTTCAAAGGCTTCCGTTCACTTCGAGCTCAATTATCCTGGGCTACTCAGTCACGCCCGGATATTTCATGTGCAGTTGCACAGGCAGCCCAGGTTACGGAAGATCTTTTCAACTCGGACCCCAAGAAGCATTGTAAGGGACTAAATTCAGTTGTAAGCCATATACTTACAACTACGGGTCAAGCGCTTAAATTCCCTAAGCTGGACCACAGACGTCTTCGGCTGCAGGTCTATTCCGACGCGTCCTACGGAAACAACCTTGACGGATCTTCTCAGTTCGGCTATATCATTTTCCTTGCTGACGACAACGATAGATGCCAACCACTATTTTGGTCTTCGCACAAATCTAAGCGTGTTTCGAGATCTGTTCTTGGCAGCAAAATAATGGCCTTAGCTGACGCGTTCGATATGGCTTTCGAGATGAAAAACGACATTTGCCAAATGACATCGCTCGATATCCCGATCGTAATGCTTACGGATAGTCTTTCTCTCTTCGATGTTATTACAAAAGCAAAGATAACATCCGAGAGGCGACTAATGATCGATGTTAAAGTTGTTAAGGATGCGTATCAAAGAAATGAATTAGGCGCTATTGGATTCATTCGTTCTGAATACAACCCTGCAGACGCATTGACTAAGGTCAAGAAAAGTGACATACTGAACAAGATACTACGAGAGTCAGTTCTTTCACACCCTATTGAGCAGTGGATCAATCGAAATTCGTGAACATGCACTGTCACGAAAAAGTTTGGGGAGTGTCAGAGTAACTGACTAGACGAGTAGTCACTGTAATTAGCTTATCATTATCAATTCAGGTCAAACCATGTAGGCTACATTTAGCTATCAACAATAGAGTCCCTTAAGGACGTGCCACCTACAAATTCTACCTGTTCAGGGTGTAACCGCTTAGAGACATTTTATGGGTGGCGCAACCTCCCTTTTATGGTAGTGCGCCTACTGTTACTGTAGAGTCAATAGGACTATAAAGCCAGGTCGAAGACGCTACTCGTCTTCGACCTCAGCACATTCGATCACCTGAACCATCAACCCGACAACCCCGTCCATTGACCGTGCTCACCGTCCGTAGCGGTTCTGAGGCAATAGCCTACCGCTCTATCCTCCCCTCTGGTAACTCTAATTACCGCCCCCTTTTTGTCATACCAACCACCCCGCCGGACCGCTCCACCCGGTCGGTCTCCCGACACGGGGAACCGTTCCTGTACACACGCTTCTGTAAGCCAGTTCGCATTTGGGGGACTACAGCGCTCACTCGTTGGTATCTACACTTTTTTTATTATTTTTTATCATCTTTATCACAGGGTATCATAGGGGCATATCCTAACGCATACGGTAGATTTCACGCTTACACGTGGAGTGGGTGGACAACGTCTGTGGCATGCGCTCATTTGGTTGGAGAATTTCTTCCACTTGGCGCAAATCAAGTGGATGATGTGCAATCAGTGGGGACCAACGGTTTAATCTATTCAGGTCTGCTCACATTTTGGTCCATTCACAGACACACGATTTCCGTTTACCTCACGCAAACTCAACCCCCAACCACCGACAGCTCCATGCTTTCCGCATTCTACATCACTTCTATCCCATCTTAGGCCACGTTCCTCATTCCACGGGTGTACACCTGCAGCTGTGGTGCTAGAGTCCGTGTCTTTGCTTCATCAGACTGCTCTCCTGTTCCAGCAAAAGAACCACCACCTCTCAGGTAACGACAACTATCTCCATTTGCCTTTAACGACTCGAAAGATGAAGCCCACGAAAGTTCCTCCCTTCGACAACTTGTGCATCGGCGTCTTGGAATTGCAGGGCGATTTTGCAGAACATACTGACATGCTCCGCCGCTGTGGAGCCGGCAAGGTCGTCGGCATTCGTCTCGCCGAGGACCTCCACGACCTCGACGCTCTCGTCATCCCAGGCGGCGAGAGCACCGTCATCAGCAAACTCCTGGTCGAGCAAAACATGATGAAGAGAGTCAAAGCCCTCGCCAAGGAAGGCTTGCCCATGTTCGGCACCTGTGCAGGCTGCATAATGCTTGCCACAGACATTCAGCAGCGACCAGAGCAGCCGAGAATTGGAGCCCTCAACGTCACCGTCGACAGAAACGCATACGGCTCACAGATTGACTCGTTTGAAACCAAGGTCAAATCCGAGTACAAGGCCTTTGTTCACGGGCCGCCATTGCACGTTGTTCACATCAGAGCCCCGGCAATTGTGGACGTGGGACAAGGCGTCGAGGTGTTGGCAAAGCATAATGACCGCCCAATTTTAGTCAGGCAAGGGGGGATGCTTGCATGTACATTTCATCCGGAGTTGACGAATGACTCTAGGGTCCACCAACTTTTCCTCGAAATGGTTCAAGAACGAAAACAAGCCTTGGCATAAGCCTTGATTCTCTAGTAAATTGGCTTCCACATGGGACATTTGTGCAGAACGTAATGGAAGCCAGTTTCACTTCTCCTGTCCCTCTTCAGTGGCCTCCAGGTCCGGTTCACGGGAGTCATCATCTCCCCTCTTGTCCAGGTCCGGTAGCTCACTTTTTTTCTCGACATGACCCATTAGAAACTCTGCAATATCGCTGTGTTTCGCTGAACGAGCTTCGTCAAGGGCGGTTTTTTCGTATTTGTTCTCTACGACTGCCTGAGCATTTTGTCTGATTAATTCCTTCACGATTTCCAGCTGACCAGTCAAAGCTGCATAGTGCAGTGGCGTAGAGCCGGAAAGGTTTGTGACGTTGATATCGGCCCCATTCCGAAGAAGTACATGAAGAATATCCAGATGGCCATTTGCAGCGCAGAAATGCAAGGCTTTGTTTCCTGAGATGCTATCTGCAGCTCCGACGACGGCGGGGAGGAATCTTGCTAACTCATTAGAGTCGCCTTTGTATCTTCCCAAGATTTGCTCCACATCCCTCACGTCCCCAATCCGAGATGCGTAGCGCAGGTACTCACCGCTGGATGCTACCGTAAACGCTTCTGCTGCGTTGTCGTTGTCACCTACCGCAGTGTCCGCCATCCGTAACCACGCCCGATTGAACGCGGGTGAGAAATGAGAACACTCTGGCTAAGCTTCAACCCTAGATGATGGCGATCAGGAGAGGTTGACTCGTGATGTCACGAGTCTTCCTTGCGCACCAGGCAGCGCAAGGCAGAAGGTGATGGGCCGATGCAACCCACAACTTCGCCAGATGATACGTCGATGATGGTCCTACTATAATGTCACGTCGTTGGAGACGGCGCGTACCGCAATTGCGGAAATTTTTATTTTCAAGTTTTTCTGTTTTGCCGAGAAACCATTACAGTATTGCCCTTATCCACTGTTGCGTTCTCATTGGTGCTAATGGGTTCTAAATCCTTGCTAAGCTAACGCTTCCGCCTCCTTTCGGTGCAGAATGTACGTTTGATATGATTTCACAGTTTCCAGATTACGAAGGACGACAAGAACGGGATTTCGTTCTTTCAAGTGTTTGCAGAGTTGTCAGTGCGCCAAGCCGTTGATTCTTCTGGGGGTTAGTTTATATATATATGTATGTATGTATGTATTACTAAACGTCATCTGTTTGCGCAAGAGCAAGTGGCACTCTTTCATACGCATGTTTCCATATCATTTGCATAACTACAAATGAGCCACATTTTGTAAGTCTCTGTTGTATCGGGAACAATACCCACGTCACTCTTCTAGGGAGGTCGAGACCAGTGCTCAAGCATTTGAATCTACACTGACTCCGAGGGACATTTGGGAGATCGAAGGAAACGCTAGTGGGAGGACTGCATAATCTTTTAATCTAAGACAAAAACTAGTTCCGGCCCTGACCTTCGAGCGCAGCATCGAAGGTACTACAGTGTAGCAGCAGTGAGGCGAACCCCCAGGTAAATGCATCTGAGAAAGAGCACGATTATCGGCCATACTTGTATCTACAGTGTAGATACATGTAAATTCTGCGTGTAGAAGGCAACTGCGACCAAACACCTTGTTCGGCATACCCCTCAACAGTTTTTTGGATTCTCTTCTTTCTTGTGAATCGCACATTGAATACAGAAGCATACGTGAATGGGCTGCTGATGGCTTCTGATGCCAACAGCTACAACTCAAAGGAATATCTTATGCCACTATCAGTCATTCAGATATGTAGTAGATTACTTAGTTCCGAGCACGGCAGAAAATGGGTACCTGCGCAGTTGTGGCGAGCGTCAGGTTGGCAACGTGCAGCCAGTAACGTGTTTATTGTCCATTCACGGTGGGTGTTATAAGCGAATATAATATACATTAGAACGGGTTTTGGGCCTAGAGTTGACGTAGTTGTATGAGGTGACATGCCACTCATCGATGACTCAAATACTGATAGTTTCCGTAAATGAACCATTTCTACTTAATAAAAAGTTCAAACGACCGATGATGTTATTCTCTCTCACTTGCTCCTCAAGAGTATTCCCTAACAAGAAATTCATGCAATGTCTCCAGATACGTAGGAATATTCAAGTATCGTAGCTACATGCCGAGGATAATCCACCAAATAGTGGAACGATTCCGGAACAGCGAAAGAGCGTAATGAGCAGAAGTCTGAAACATTGTGTACTTCGCATGTCTTCAATCCGTCACTCGGAGAGACTTGTAGCGTTATGCGAAGCGCAGCGCGAAAACCCCGCGTACATCACCAACGAGAGCCAGCCTCGGGTCTCGACAAAGCACGTTCAGTTTCGATGAGATCCTTGATGAGCAGTGGGGGTTCCAAGCCCCATTTCTCTGCCCTCTGCCACCTAAACAGTCTGTCAACCCCGACAAAGGGTCCGTAGGTTGGGTTGAGGTCGAACAAGCGAAGAATATCCTCAATTTGGTCAGAGGACAGCTGTGAAACATCGACTTTCGCCCGGTCAGCAGAGGCAATGTCCGGCCACTCTTCTAACTTTGGGGTAGTTGAGGAGTCGTCCGGGTTGGTGGCTGGCTCGGATTTAAGAATATCCTCGATTTGGTCAGAGGACAGCTGTGAAACATCGACTTTCGCCCGGTCAGCAGAGGCAATGTCCGGCCACTCTTCTAACTTTGGGGTAGTTGAGGAGTCGTCCGGGTTGGTGGCTGGCTCGGATTTTGGCTTGGTTGCCACTCTCGGCGCCTGAAAAGGCTTTTCGATGCGCACAAACTTGTCCATTGATATTGCAGAATTCTGTTCAGTGGCTTGCGATAAGACGAGTAAATGAGCCAAAAGGAGAGACGGCACCCGACAAGGAAGCAAGACAAGAGAGAATGCCAGGGCGTTGTATAAAGGAAGTAGTCGGCTATGCTTGAGTTGAGTACGAGCATGGAATGCCTATATGGCGCGAAGCATTGCCACTGGATGATTCCGAAACGGTCGCCGAGGACAGCTCAGTGCTGTTTTGAGTGATATTATGTGAATATTTTTTCAATACTTTTCGAGAAATAGGTTGCACTGCGCTTCGCCTCAGATTTTTTTTGTGCACCAATAAGCGCTCGTACTTCAGCGAAACCAGCAATGCATGCGTGGCTTGGGCTTGCCGTCAACAGAGCCTGTTGTCCAACCACAACATTATCTCCGTCGGCCGTCGGCACTTCGCAGCTTGAATTCACCTGCGCGCTATTCGTCCGAGAACAAGGAGGGCAAGACGTGCGATTCTCCAGTGCAAAAAAAGCGTATTGCGAAGATGCCTTCCCAAAATCAAATCGAAGAGATGTTGCTATCCAGGACGTCTCCGGTTGCGGCGCGGATGCGCGCTATCTTCGGGTTGAAAGGACTGGATAACTCGGCTGCCATCTCCGCTCTCGAAAAGAGCCTGAAGAACGATTCCTCGGCCTTGGTACGACATGAAGTCGCTTATGTGCTGGGTCAAAAAAAGGCTATCTCCGCCCTCCCGACGCTGTATGCGACGTTGGAGGATAAAGGCGAAGATGTCATGGTTCGCCATGAGGCAGCTGAAGCGATGGGTGCGATTGGGGACAGTACAGCAGTACCGATTCTGGAAAAGTACGCTAAAGGGGACGATATTCCACTTGAAATTCGAGAGACCTGTGTGTTGGCACTCGAAAAGATACGCTGGATTGCTAGTGGCGGTGCCGGTGGACCAACAGGCGGCTACAATTCACTTGATCCGGCACCCCCAGAGTCTTCAGAGTCAGATATAGAGGAGCTGAAGAACACATTGTGCGACGGGAAACGTGATATGTTCAAGAGGTATAGAGCGATGTTCACGCTTAGGAACATTGGTGGGGAAAAGGCGACGCTTGCACTCTGCGAGGGCATGGAGCGGGAAAGGGGAAGCGCTTTGTTTAGACATGAAGTGGCATATGTTTTGGGGCAACTGCAACGCGAGGAAGCTGTGCCGACGTTGATCAAATTTTTGAAGGATGACAAGGAGGCCGATATGGTTCGACATGAGGCTGCAGAGGCGCTCGGCGCCATCGGAAGTAAAGAAGCAGAGGCTGAGCTTGAGTTATTCAAGAAAGACAAGGCGGACGTGGTAAGAGAAAGCGTTGAGGTTGCGCTTGACATCTCGGAATATGTTACATCTGGGGAATTGCACTACGCCGAGACAATCGATGCAACCAAGGCTTCCAATGCTTAGACAAGGCTTGTGTGAACGCAAACTGATATCGAAGTTGTTCTCATGGACGTGCAGGGCGCCGGTATCCGTCTCGCTGATGACATCCACTTGGACGCCATCATCATTGCGGGCAGCTAGAGCACTATCATGTACGCGCTCGTCCTAGAGACATGTCGCATGACATGACGCAGGGAGTGAAGGACCTTGGGAAGGCCGTCGTGAGGGAGGGCTTGCCTTTGCACGGTACTCGCGAAGGCTGCGTCATGCTAGACATGAACATGCAACGGCGATTGGAGCAGCCGAAGTAATGCCTAACAAACCCCCCGAGAAGCACTTGCGTGGGGGTATTCGGTATCAATGGACAAGGTAAAGCATGTTGTCCATTGAGTTGTTTGTACAGCACCGTATGGTGAGATCAATCCTACAAGACAGGAATTACGGGATCACGCTAGCATTGTTGGTTTACCGGATTTGTGGAATGTTATGGAGTGGTTGGACGAAGTAAGATGGTGGGTCACGAGAAGACACGATGGTTCCCCGCGGAGACAGAAGTGGAGTGGCTGTTGGTTCGCGGGTGGATGAAAGAAAGTTTTTTTAAAAACTTTCTTCAGCTCCCTGTCCCTACGTTAAAAACGGAAGGACAGGGAGCTGGGGCAGCGAGAAGGCGGTTCGGATTCGTAGAAAAATGACAGTGTGTCCGTTGCCCAGTGAATTCACTGGGCAGACGTATAAAGGGGAGTGCAACTTGCAACTTCCATGCATGGATTCCAGGGATCCAATATGAAGTCGACACGGATAAGCAGTCAGGCTGCGTTCGTCGCTGTGTCCAAAGGACAATGCTTTGTTTCGCTACCATGACACGGCGCAACGCAAGGTTCGGCAAAACGGATGTGATTGCATCACGACATTCGCTCATCGGGCCTTCCTCTTTTGATGTGTTTGGGGTGCTACTGCCCGCATGGTGATAGGGCAGGAGCGTAGAGGGCGTCGTTGGAGAGAAGGAAAAGTTTTAAAGGTCTGTCCCATCCTGGAGCGCGTGTGCTTGAATCGGCAACAAGGCAGAGTAGTGCAACATGGATCTGTTGAAGGGAGGCGACTTGCGAGGACCGAAACAATGCAGATTGGTCAAGCTGTGGCATGGGTATATCCCCAATGGAAACCGATGGGTTGCGAGCATACGCAGAAACGGTTGGACAGGCCAGGCAAAGTCGTCGCACACATGGAGAAAGAAATGATTGCACGCGTAGAATTAAGGAGTCTTTGAAAAGGTGTAACAACCTTGTTGTTAAGATTAAAATCTTAAGGCTTTAGGGAAAGCGGCCGTCACGTCGGCGTCCTTCTCACAATTCACGAGAATTCGATTGCGCGACATGACAACTCCATGACAGGCTCACATGCGTCTGGATGACGCCACCAGTGGACCACGTCGTCGTGCTTTCGTACAGTAGTTGCGTCGTTCCAAGTCGTGGCGTTCCAACGGTTGATATCTGTTCCACCACGCGGTGTTCCACCACGTGCAGTCAGCCACAACGGATTGTGTCAGCAACACTGCCCGCGGGCAGGATGTTTTTTTTTTTCTACAAATTTACGGCTTCAGGAATGAAGTTGATTCATCGTACCGACGTAAAAATCTGGGCTCAGCAGATCACTCCAGGCCCGCCAAGGCGAGGCAGGAGTGGATCCTCGTGGAAGATGGCGAATTTATGGCAAAGCTTCCGTAGCCGTTGGGGCGTGCGTGACGTCGGCCGCGTACATCGGGCCCACAGGCAATATGTGGTAAGACAGGGGCGCGACACCTCGCAGATGTCGCACGTGTACAAGACCACTGACCGGCCAAACTCTCATTCCGCAGGAGGATTCCGCAGGCGGACCGCTCCTGCGGAATCCTCTCCGTCGTTGCATGTAGTTCGTTCTTGCCGCACGGGTGCGGTCGTTGTGTCGCCGCCGAGCTACAAAGGCTATTGACGCAGCTCCATTCAGGTAAGCGAGCGGCGAGGCTTTAACTTGAGTGCTCAGCCACCAGCTTAATCGAGAGACCTCCTAAAGATCCGAGGCACGTACGCCTCTTTAACTTGAGTGCTCAGCCACCAACTTAATCAAGAGACCTGCTAAAGATTCGAGGCACGTACGCTTCTCGTCCCTGATACGGTTGCAACAGCCCGGGCTTTACCTACTACATAAACTTAACTAGTACACAACACCAAGAATAAGCTGTTTTGGTTCTGCTTGATAAGTAATTGTCGCTTACAATAACATATCTAACCAATAACACTGACACCTGAGTCCTTGGCAAGGCTAGCCCTCTTCCGATGAGTCTTCCTTCAGAAGGCGAGACAGGCCCAAAACGCTCTCGCGGGCTCTATCAAGGCATTCATCCCGCGCGCTTCGCGACAATGCATAGGTCCACACCATGGCAGAGCCACGAGACCTCTTCTCATGGTCACGAAACGCAACGTCAAACGCCGACTTGGTGATCTGAAATTCTTGACACTAATTCACACATCGAGGCTCGACGATTGCTAGCTGTCCCTCAGCACGCGCTCTAAATAGCTGTCCAGTGCCTTTCTGGCGAGACTCTTCACTTCAATGGTCTTCCTGACCATCTTGTAAGCGCCTGCCGAGTACTTGTACTGCATTCTGACCTTTTTGACGACAAAGTGCATGCCGTCATGCTCGACGACATCGCCGCAGTTTGTGTGGGGATCGAGCTTGAATCTGCCGAGGTACGAGGGGGGCGGGGAGACGATGGAGACGTCGAAGGGGAGGACGTCGCCGTTGGACGGCCTGCGTGAGGGCTTTCGGAACACGTTCATGCCGGAAGAGATGTCGTCGTCCGAGTTGTCTGGGGTGTCCGGGGCGTCCGACGCGGGCTTGTTGTCGTCGGAGGCGGTCATGGATGCGTGGGACAGGTGCGAGCGGCGGTGGCGGAAGAAGGCGGGCAGACGGCCCCGCGAGCGGCGCGGCGAGTTAAGGCACGGCGAAGGGAGGGTGGTGACTTGCGTCGGGAGGGGGCGGGCCGGGATGGTGACGATGAAGGCCGACTCGGCGGCGCGCACGTCGTCGGCCATGGTGTGCATGGGGGGATGGG